TTATTGTACTACAATTCCTTAAAAACAACAATGGCGTGACTGTCACTTATGACTCGGAGCGCTGGAGTGCTATTACAACAAACCCTTTTGGCCTAGTATTGGATTTAAACAGTATGTGGCTTCAACAAGACGGTGCCACATGCCACACAACAGGATTGAAAATGTATCTCCAACAAATGGTCTGATCTACAACTTATAAATAAAAAAGCCGTCTCCGAACGACTTTTGGTTTTTTATGCGGAGCTTTTATTTCACTTCAGGGGTAAGCATTTCCTACTGAGAGAGACCGCAATTAAAAAAAAAATCCTTTAAATCTTTGATGTTATCGAAACCTTCGAGTACTGGTTTTCCGAATGGTAGTAGACGGTGCTAACTATATATGTATATCTAGCTGAACCCAGCAACGTATCGCTGATGTACATACTCATTAAATGTATGAGAAACTAATTATGGGATATATTTTCATTACAACTTCATTTACTCAATACTTGTGAGACAACAAAATTTTTGGTTCAACCATTGACATTGGTCCACTTCCTGGAGAGAGGAATAGTCCGACTTTTTGAAAAAGCCAGTCCGGAGAGAATAGTAGTTTTCCTGCTCATCTAATCCAGTCATAAATAAATCTTTTTTTCGAAGAAGTCAGTCTCTGGTCCACTTCCCGGACCGGAAATTATTTTGGCTTTTTCCAAAGGCTTCTTCTTCTTGTTAATCTGAAAAAAAAATTTCAAGTAAATCGCATTATAAATAACATTTTTTCCAATAGGTCAGTCCCTGGTTCACTTCCCGAATTTTTTTCTAGCAAACCTTCCCAGGAACCATGGAAAGAAACTGAAAAACAAAAAAAAAAAAAAAAAAAAAAAATTGGCACATTGTTATCGTTGAATTGATTTAAGGCTGCAATTCCCGAGTGGCCATTTTCAATATCTATTTTGTTTCCAATTAAAACGAGTAGGATCCGTTTCAAGTTTTCGTAATTTTTTTAGGTTTTTGTTTTATTTAACATAAAATCGAATACTTTTTTTATAGTTTAGGAGTTGCACTTTTATGTGAACATAAGATATTCGAAGAAATGTATAAAATTATTTATTTTATGACTGTTTATAAAAAAATTTGCGTTTTTCTGAAGAAATTTTAAGATATTTATTAAAAAAAAGTTAATAAAAAAAATTTTTTATACTGATTTTCTAGGTTCACACCTAAGCCTACAATATTAGCTGTAAAAAAATCATTACTTATGAAAATGCGACAATTACAACTTTTTTAATCGTGTGTACAAAACAGAAAAGCACAATCACTGTTTTGAAAAAATCGCGTTCCAAGTTCTCGCGCCCGCTTGTCAGTCTCCTGAGCGCATTGTCTCTCAGAGGCCATTTCTGCGGAACGATAAGGAATTTGACTCTGAAATTTTGTGGAAATATTGCTGAATATATTTCTAATCGAATGAGATAAGTTTCAAAAAATCGATTTTTTTTACCCTCTAACCCCGGTTCCCCCCTTAAAAAACCTGGAAAATGAGGATCTGTAAACTGCCACATTGAAGTACTTCATTACCTACATTTTCTGAAATTATGATGCCAATACCATTGTGGGATCGCTCCTCTATTTTTATGATTTGAAAGCCTTTTTTAAGGGAGTTAAAAACTGTTTGGCATTAATTTAAGCTTGAGAAAGATTTTTCAACAGAATTAAAGAAATTTACATAAAAAATATGTTTAATTATAAATACTTAAAATATTAATTAATAATTAACCCCCTACGACTTTTTAATCCCAAATAAATATCATTAGGACAGCTATGAAACCCAATTTCGTTCGGAACTGGATTTGGAATCCAATCATATGGAAATTACATAATCATGCTCCGTAATTATGTCAATTTAAAATATGGGTTCTTCATGCTTAAATCAGATTTTAGTTTTCTGTATTTCGGCCGAAAAACTTCGACAAGAAACGTAGGCAACTCAATGTGTGCCCTTCCTAGTATTTATTCAGTGATATTACCAGAAGCTTTAATAAGAGGTTCTGTGTTGTTTACAGCTGCTCTTGCGGATCTATCAGATCATTTATCTAAAGGCCTTAGTGTTGCGACCAATTCAAGGATAGGTTATATGTACATATCTCTTGAAATTAATATCACAGCAAATCAAGTAACTAAAGAGCGGCCAAAATAGATGAGTAGATCCTATGAATATATAAATCATAGAATATTAAGCTTTGTTATTTCTAATTCGGTTACGACTAGGCAGGGTGTGTCAACCGTTCGCCGAGTATAATTCAGAGAGGAAATAAAAAGTCCCAAGTATGGGACCATTAATAAAATTTTTCTAGCTATCGGGCAAAGTTCTTGACTGTCTTTCACCAGGAAGTGGTTACCTCACAGCAGCATCCCACTCCCGATCATAGACAAAGTATCCTCTGGAATCCATGGAATAGCCTTTCCGATGGTTACAAGTATACAGTGATGTGATAGTGAGATGAAGAAATTGGCATTTGAGGTGCCGATAATTTTCTGACCGACATATTCTTACAAGCAAGCGTGAATGTAGCCAATCTCGTATTAATGACTAATCTTCATTACAGCTAGGGTTGTATAGGTGAATCATGGGCTACCGGAGTGGTCGTCAATCACCGAAACTCAGAAAGATTAAACATGAGGTTCCGCAGTTTGGTTAATTTTTAGAATTCGAAGCTCCCTCCACTACATGAAGAGATTTCTCTGAACTCATATGCTGATGATTACTCGATATGGACATCTGGCTAGGACATTGATGAGTTATGCTCGAAAGCAAACTGTTATCTCGACGACCTTTACCCACTTCTGCACTGCAAAATAACTAAAACTGCAACCAACAAAATCCTCGGTTATCCTCTTCGCCAGCTGAACGAAGAAGTTCGATAGGGTCGACTGCGTCGAAATTCCGACTATAACCTACTATAAACAATCCAAAGTTACTGGTGGTCACATCTGAAAGCTTGCGCTACTTCACTCATCATACGACCGTAATTGCCCCAAATCTCCAGTGCTGTAACTACATATATGCTCAAAGTGCTAGTTGGAAGGGACTGATGAAAAATCAAAGAATCTTTGAAGGCAACCAATATGGCAATGAAAACACTTAGAGTTAGTCAACATCTTCTTGAACTCTTTCCTTGTGAAAGTCGTTCTCGGAGTCATACCGCAACATATAGCAGACGAAGAGCTCGAGCTACATTCAGGGGAGACTCACATAGTGCAGGCACAACTCAGATCTAGATACTGCAGATTAAACCATCCCCAAAACCAATTCATCTAACCCCTTTCTTCCTCTGGTCAAAGCCCGTCGAAACAACTCGTTTACTAGACCTACCGTTAGATGATCTAGATGGCTTAGACTGGTCTATTCCTAAATAGGGTAGGCGAACCACTACTACAATAATAACAACACAGCTGATGGTAAAAAAAAATAAGATAATAAGCAAATGAAAATTTAGTTTCATATTTGGGGCCTAAGTCAGTAGCCTGATAAACTGCATTTTATTTAATGCTTTGTTTGGACTATTTTGTTTAGAAAAATTAAATTCAATTAATTTAAAAAAATTTTTTTTTTTTTGAAATTTGTTCTTCTTTTATTTAACTGAAAGGGTGCACCTTAAAATGAAAGGAAAGTGTCTGGCACCGGTAATTTTATCACCTGAGTATATTTGAAATAGAAAAATCAAAACAATAATTTTTTTGCGAGCCTGTCATTCTGGCTGAAACTAGGAATCAACAAATTTGGTTCAAAAAAAAATGGTTGACTTCGAAAAAAATGGCTTTTAAAAACTTTGTGGCTCAGTGCATACTACAACAATATTTTCAAGACATACAGAATATGTTTAACTAATTTTTTTTAATTACTATTTTTGTAGTTTTTCAAAGAATAAATTTCTTAAATATTTAGTATTAGTTAACCACATACACATATGTATTTACATATGTTCACTATTTGAAATTGTAGTATTTTGCCCGCTTTGTTTATTTATCTACCGCCATTGATGTGAAAAATTATTTATTTACATTGGCATATTGACTGAAAATTCTACTATGAATATTAACAATTACATATATACTCACTAATACTGTTTTACTTAATTTTCTTTAATGCAATACTGAAAAATAAATTTTTTAGTTTCAAAAAATATTGGAATTTTTTCGATATTGTGATGAGTTTTCTGAAGTGGCTGCAGTCTGAACTCATAAAACGGTGCCAATGATGAAGATCGTGCGTTGCATCTGAAAATTCTTTTTAAATTTCTATTAATATCTCTTCCATATGTAATTTAAGAATACCGCGAAAATCTCAAATTTTTTTTGGTTTGAAAAAAAAAATTCACTTTTTGGAAAAAGTTGCAAAAAAAATTGTTAAAACAATATTTTTATCTTATTTAGTTCAAATAGAAAATAATTTATACTGAAGTGAGCTAGCGATTTATTTGGATCCAATATACGATTTGCTATCACCGGCACCATCTTCGAAGCCCTGTAAAAGTTGAAACTCCAGAAAACGCGCTTCAGAGCTCTGCGCCCAAGCATTCAAACCTGCTTAACGGTCGGTTACTGAAACTGCTCTAGCTTCTAAAAATATCTCGAATTGACCACTGAAATTTTGAAGACACATGCCTGGATAGTTTTTGAATAGATTTATGGAAAAAATATGCACTTATTGAAGCCTCTAAAGCAGACTACACCCTGAACATCAAACATGTAAGCAGAAAAAGTGTTTTAAAAAAGGTAATAAAAAGTTTAGTTGTAGGCAGTGACAATTTTGAAATGGAAGAAGAAGAAGACAAATACTTTTTCATGCGAATAACACATCTTAATATATATAATATATATAATTATTTAACTGCAATTTACAAAAAGTATCAGCGTCTCCATGACTTATGAGTTAGAAACAAATTTCTTATAATTAAATTGAAAATTGTATACTTGTATGTGTGTAGCAAATAAATAAATACAACTTGCGCCATTCAACTTACCACAATACGTCGGACACGTGTCATATTGTTCTAGTTAACGTTGATTACTTCCGTTGCTGAGAGAGCAGGCGTCGTTTTCTGTTCTTTAAGGTTGAGAAAGAGCAAAGCACAAAAGAACTATTTTTGCACTTAAATGTTATTTCTGTTCTTCGTTGGTTGTTTCTTTTCAACTTCTTGTAATAAATTAATTTAATAAATTTATTTTATTTTTTCTAATTTCTTTAAATAATAGCTTATTTTTTTATTTATTTTTGTTTATTTCTCTTGTGATATTTTTCAGCGTATTCTACAATCCTCGTTTTTTTTTCAATTTTCACTATCTTTAATTCATAATTAATTTTCTTTCACATTCCTGCCTTCTCTATCGTTTGCTATAAAAGAAATTTAAAAAAAATATCACTCATACGCCATGCAGACCAAAAAGAATTTGCACACTAAACGGTGCGACTGAGCGGAAATCACGTTGGCGACAACACGTTGGCAAAACAAAAGTGTGTGCACACTACTACTGATTTTGTCTCAAACAGCCAATTGCGCGGCAATAAGCACACAGACATACACACTCACATACACACACGAGCACTCAAACAAAAACTCATCGCTATTATTAAAAAAACACGTTTTTGCTTTTAGATGGCGCTTAGTGGTGATTGTAGCATACTTGAAACATATATTTCACACACCAATATACATACACACACTACAAATTTCATTAAAAAAGACTGAAAAAAAATAACACCGTCGGAAACGGATGCACGGAAATCGCGTTCGAATTACACTTCAAAAGCCACTTAATGGTGGCATTGGGCGCTTGTAAGTGTAGTGTGTGGGAAAAGTTGTAAATATATAGATATGTATGCGGGTAAAGGAAAACAAATCACAAATATTTTGAAATAAAAATAAATGTATGTAAGCATTTATGACCCATTGGGGAATCCCATATAAAAATAAGTGCTAAAAAAATATCAAAAAATGGCGTCTGTTTTACCCGTAGCTTCAAACACTTTTACTTTCTGACACATATTTTCCTTTATATATATAAACAGTAAAAAAAATTTCTCTCCATAAGCACACATACACATATATAAATGCGCAAATTTCTCTATACTGTATTTAATTAGCGCAAAAGCTAGAGAGACGTACGTTTAGTAGTAATATATTAATTAATTGGATTAATTTTTGTTATTGTTAAGAATTACCGAAATGTCAATTCACTAGGCCACATAAACTTCTCTGTTTTTATTTATAATATTTTATATTTGTTAATATTCATTTTTGATTTATTTCCCAGGCACGCGTTCGTCACTATTTTCTTTGGCTTCTTGCTTTTCGTTTTATAGACCGTTTAGTCACACGTCTCAGTTGTAACTGAGCCAAATGCGAGATGTGCTGGAGCTAAAATACTCCGGCACATACGAGTTGGAAATATTATATGAAATGGTTTATAATTCGTCGCTCAGCTGCTGTATTTTGCACTACGTTTATGCGGCAGTGACGCTTACTAGTGCCGCATTGAGTGCGAGAGGCCATAGAAAGCATGGCGCATGCGTGAGTTTTGTTGTGAGAAGCATGTAGTATAGGTTTAGAGTGGCCAGCACATGCTTCATCATTACTTAAATCTGGCAAACTTATAGCAAAAACTTTGTAAACTCTTGAAAAAATATAAATTTTAGAAAATCGGTTAAAAGTTTTTGATTGGTTGTTTTGAAGCTTTAAATTTAGTTTAAATCTTTTGTATAAAAAATGTGATTCATATAACTAAATAAAATAAAAAGTTGTTAAAATTAAATTTATACATATTTTAAATTTTTTTAAAACATTTGTAGTAGTAAATTTGTCTGCCACGTTCAAATTAAGCAATAATATTTGAATTAAAATTTTTTTTAATTTTGAAAAAAAAAACAAATTTTGATTTCCTCTAATTTGTGTATAAAAATAATATTTCTAAAATCTATTAATTTGCAATAAATAATTTTATCAAAATTATTTAAAACTTTTGAATATATTTCACTATTTTTTAAGCACTTAAATAACTACGCTTTAATGAGATATAAAACTGTCTTTATTTGCTACACTCAGAGTGCATGCTCTCACTCTCTTTTCATTAAGAGCTTTCTAAATAAAGTTGATAACAATTGAGAGCATACGTTGAGCTCTCCAAAAAATATCCCTCCGCACACACAAACATATGAATTTCTTCATCTTCCTTGAATGAACTTGTCGTATTTATTTCCGCCAACAACTGAGCCAACATCAAAGCATCCAGCTACTCTGAAAGATAAGAAAGGATGGGAATAAAACATTCGCAATCACATTTTGATTTAGTACCACAACACAACACCAATCACAGGTGACCCACTAAAATTTTAATATAAACGGTTACAATCTATTCTAAAAAATAAACAAAAAGAAAAAACGCATGGGAAGTGAAAAATAAATAAAGCAAAACTAAGTAAAATACCAAAATATTATTCAGAAAATTATTAAACAAATTAAACTAAATACAAAAGCATATAAATATTTAACTGTATTGAAACAAATTGAAATAAAATTAAATTCTGTTAAGTCATGTTATATAATTTCATTTAAGTATTTAAAGTTAAACAAAATGAAATCATGGAAAATAAATTGATATAAAAATAAAATAATATCACAAAAAGAATATTTAAAAAATTAAAAAACAAAGCATAATGAATCAAAATAAAGTAAAATAAAATAACAAAACAAAAACGAAGATAGACGCAGTAAACTCAAATTAATTAAAATGAAACAAAGCGAAACGGATGAAGCAAATAAAAAACTAAATAAATTAAATTAATTAAAATATAAAATAAAGTTCAACAAACAAAAATAAACTAAAAAATAAATAAAATGAGACAAAACAAAATAAACTGAAAAAAAAATAAAAATAAAATAAAAAGAAAATCATACAAAATGAAATTAGAGAAAACAAAATAAAAAAAACAAACCAAATTAAATTGAGCCAAGGAAATTAAGGTATATAAAATTAAATAAATAAAATCAAATATGTAAAATAAAATAAAATGAAATAAAATAAATTTATTTAAAAAATCAGTTGAAATAAAAAATAAAATTAAATAAGATAAAACTTTACAATCAAAAGGAAATTAGAGAAAATAAAATATGTTAAATAATAAAAACAAACTAAATTATATTTAATAACATAAAATAAAACAAAGCAAGGTAAATGAAATAAAATAAATAAAAATGAAAGAAAAAAAATTTAAAAAAATGCAATGAATTAAAATAAAATAAAATAAATTAAATTTAAAAATAGGTTAAAATAAAAAAAAATAAAAAAAAAAAATAAAATAAATCAAAATGAAATCAGTGAAAACAAAATAAAAAAACGAACCAAATTTAATTAAACCATCGAAATTAAGGCATATAAAGTTAAATAAATAAAATCAAACATGTAAAATAAAATAAAATGAAATAAAAAATGATGTTAAATTAGACAATCAAAAAGAAATTAGAGAAAATAAAATATATTAATTTAAAAAAAATAAACAAAATTAATTTTAATAACATAAAATAAAACAAAGCAAGGTAAATGAAATGAAATAAAATAAATAAAAATAAGAGAAAAAAAAATAAAATAAAATAAAAAAACAAACCAAATTAATTTAAACCACGGAAGTTAAATTATATAAAATGAAATAAAATTAAAAAAATATAATAAAATAAAATATATAAAATACAAATAAAATAAAATAAATTAAATTTAAAAATAGGTTAAAATTAAAAATAAAATAAAATAATCAAAAGGAAATTAAAGACAATAAAATATAGTAATATAAAAAATTAAACTAAATTAAATTAAACCATGAAAGTCAAATTATTTAAAGTAAAAAAAAAAATTAAAAATTAAATGAAATAAAATATAANAAAATAAAAAAAAAAAAATGATATAAAGTAAATTTAAAAAAAGGTTAATTAAAAAATAAAATTTAATAAAAAAATAGAATAATCAAAAGGAAATTAATGAAAATGAAAAATAGTAAAATAAAAAAATAAACTAAATTAAATTCAATAGCATATAATAAAACAAAACAAAGTAAATGGAATGAAATAAAATATTATTTAATAAAATAAAATATAATATATAAAAAAATAAAATTAAATAAAATAAAACAAATTAAAATAACATAAAAAAAAACAAAAAACAAACCAAATTAATTTATCCAAGGAAATGAAGTTAAATAATGTAAAAAAAATAAAATAAAATAAATTAAAACAAGAAATAAGTTATAATGAAAAGTAAGTTATAATAAAAAAATAAACAAATAAATGAAGTAAATGAAGTTAAATAAAAAAACTGTCATAAGTATATAAAATAAAAGAATTTAAAGAAAATAAAATTTAATAAAATGAAAAAAAAAAATGTATAAAGGAAATAAAATTAAATAAAAAAATAAAGTATATAAAATTTAATAGAATAAAAATAGTAAAATAAAGTACATGAAATAAAAAATAAATAAACAAGTAGAATTAATTTAAGTTAAATAAAAGAATATGAAATACAGTAAAATAAAATATGTAAAAATAAGATAAAATAAAGTAAAATATGAAAACGGTAGTGATCGAAAGGCAGTGAGCCGGCAAAAACTGTCTCCATTCCAGGACTCACGGCTAGGAAGGCTTTTATGTGTATTTGGTGGAATTGGCAAGGCGTAATTTATTACGAGGAGCTCCCCTGAGACCAATCTCTTTTAAATCTGTACTGGACTGCCAACAACGGAACCGTCTGAAGGAAGCATTCGCCCAGGAAACAGGAAAAATGTGCCGACCCACCAGCAGGCCCGAGCAAAAATGCTATAACTGGATATTTCTCTTTTAAAATGGATGAAAGTTCAATAGAAAGGAAAAACCAAGCCACTGGTCTGTACAAACAAAACATAAAATCAACTTATCAGCTACAAAAAAAAAAAAAAAAAAAAAGTTCAAAAACACTTATTTGCTCTAATGCCCCGCCGGTTCAGCTTTAATACCCTTCCACTCGCTTTAATCCTTCAATTCCGGTTCCCGCACACTTCTTTGAATCGACTCAACTTGTACACACACTTAACCACCATGTAAACCCAACAGCCTGGCATCGACATTTGCGGCTAGGATTATATACATTTGTACATAAACAAGCCTACACACGCATCACATGCCAGCATATGCCTGTGAGTTGAAGTGAAAAATGGCAGAAAGGAGAAGCTAAATGTTAGAGAAACAAACTTGAAAAGATGCCGCATTAACAGAAAGTGACAGCGTTTATATGTAGATGTGTATATGCGTGTGCATGCCTGTGAAGAAATGGGCAATAAGGATAACATGGTTGGCAAAGACCTTACCGAAAGGATTAGCAATGAGATTAACCAACGGCTTAGCAGTAAGTAAAGGCAAGGAGTAGGAAAAATGCAGGAAAGGGCCGATAAAAAATTCTTAAATAAAGCAAAACGCAAGATAAACATTGAAAATATGCAAATATTTAACAAAAAAATATGTACACAAATCGAAGAATGAATGAAAATCTTTTAATTATTTACCACTTCCTTTAAAAAAGACAAGTCTTCGTACCGCAAACGCCAGTGTGAAATAATTAAAAAATATTTTTCTCTTGCTCCTTACTAAATTAACCACTTGAAAGTGAATTTTTCATTATTTTTTTCCTCCATAATGCGAAAAAAACAAAATAAATTCTACACGTGTATCTTCAAGGACGCGCGTTAAGTTGGCAGAAATATGTTATTTGATTAATCAATATGGTTTATTAAAGAATAATGTCATATTCATACATTTAGATATTCATACAAGCATATAAATGTGTACATACATAGATATATTTATACATATATGCGTATTAAAGAATACATACATACTTACATATGCATGAGCATCATCGGCACGTCCTTAACTCAATCAAAATATAATTTGGAAATTTTCAACACGAGTTCGCTTTCATCAGTACTTTTTTTCCTCCTTCTACAAAACTTAAATCCAGCAACTCAACATGAGTTTATCAGCAGAAGTATAGAACAGTTGCCAAACTTGAAAGAGCAACACGTGGCAAAAAGTTTAGGCAAGCTTAAACACATAAGTGGAGGAAGAAATAAGAAATTTTCATACGCACACACACACACACATTAATATTTTCATTACATACATATATACGCACATGAGGTCTCTCTAAAAACGGGTGTGTGTATAGGTAAAAGTACCTCCTTTGATACCGTTAAAATTGTCTGTGTATTGCGATGCTGGTAGTTATACATATCGTGCATCTGTATGTGCGCCTCACATACATATGCATATTTTTTAGACTCGCAAACCACTAAA